TGTATAGTCATTTTCTAGTAGGTAGGATAAACTGCCATTTGTTTCCTAGCTAGGAAGAGACAATGTTCACAGTGTGTGTAGTAAGGTCATCACTAGTGAGAAGTGGTGATCACATCTCTAGCCGTTTGCAACCAAACAACATATTGTTGGTCTAACAACAGCGACGCGGGCAACCAAACAATATGCTAACTAATTGCTCCAAACTACATGCAGATCTTAGTTTTTAGACTGCATTTGCTCAACCGGGACAAGTATGCAAAATGCCATAAAACAGAGATATCGCTCCGAATCCTAGGAGCCGTTGAGTTCGAAGATACTGTTGTAGGAAAACAATCAAGTGAAAGAAGCTCTCGTTCCCACTCTCCCCCCCCCCCCCTACCTAACCGGTAGGTAAGTGGGGGCCTCGGTTTCTCTATTTGCTATGAGAAACCTCGGGAACGCGAACACAGGTGGTGCATGGCTTTCGTGGACACACGAGCAATCCAACCTGTCGGATTTCCTTTTCCTCTTCCCATTAGAACTTCTGTGGGTTTCCCCGTAATAGGAAGATCTACGAGAATTCTTATCCATATCTTACAATTTCTTCAGAATTGTCCGCTCATAGCTCGATGTAATTATCTGATTATAGCCCGACGCGTTGCTTCAATGGCTCGATTTGAAAGACGACCAACTCTACAACTTTTGGTGCCATATCTTCCAAAACCAAGTTGTGTTGTGAACCAAACGCATTCAAAGTGTCCGAACCGTGCTGTCAGAACGTTTGGTTTTTTTATGGACGACATTGAACATTGAAGATGCTCTAATGTATACCCCGCAAATTCTTTGTCGTCACTATACCCTCTTGCACAAGATCGATGGTAGTACAACATCCCTCATTCATGTAGATGCAATCATGGCAGAAAGACGTATTAATGGTGGACACGACCGGCTGGTTATTGCCGAACATGGGGAGGACACGAACTATTGATTTCCTAGACTTCCTAGACTATTACTACTAGTACTACACTATATACTCCTTCCGTTCCATCCAGCGTTCGATCAGCGAGTAAGACACACGCGAATTTCAAGAATCAATTTGACAAATAAAATGTGGGCTATTTGCGACAAAAGTAGTATTGCCAAATTTATATTTGATTTTTTTCAATGGTAGAACCTTGGTGTCTTCTTTAACACGGTACAGACGTAAACGCTTATATACACACGCATACACTCATCCTTATAAAAGCACACGTGCACACCCTAGCTCTATGAGCATCTTCGAAAGACTGAGCCGACATATCATCTTGAAATTTACGAAGTCACCATAGGCACCTCGTCGTTGACGGGAACGTCTCCTCCCACTAAATGCGCATCGCCGGAAATCCTGAAATAATTTTAGGAATAAATGTGAGCACCAGAATTTAAATCCTGATGAACCGGGGATACCACAATCCCTCTAACCATCCAAACACAGGTTGGTGTTCGATGTCTTGATCGAGGTGTTCTTGCCCGGGTTCCCTTACAATGTCATATTCCAAATATATGTCACTGGCTTGCAGTTGTAGCATGTTAATAGTGTCTGTTGAGCCGCTTCTGTGTCTTGGGTTCTATACTTTTAGATTTGTCCACATGCGGTCATGTTTGTAACGGTTTTCGCCTGTTTTTTTCATTAATTAGCCTAGTAACCTAGAAATTCTTCTTAACGGTGCTCCCTTATTCACTATGTATTTAATAGACCTTACATTGTTGGAAATCATATCATGTTTGCATAGTTGATGCCATAGTGGATACATGACTTACAAAAGTGGGTTATATCTTTTTTTAAGGTAAACTGGGTTATATCAATCAACCTTTGGTTTCGCGTTTCCTACTCTGTTTGCAAGAATACTTGGAATAACCTATTTGCATTTTGAGACATCATGAATATAGGCCCATCATATTTATGGATTTTCCTCTGTTCATTTTTTAATGTATTTTCCTCAATTCATAATGTTTTGTTTTCTGTCTCATTTTCTCGACCGGTTTTAATTGACATGCATATAGTAGCAAGTTTTTCACCTAAACCAAGTTGTGACCGAACTGTGCATTTGTTTGTAGACCGTTTGTTTGCTCTCAACAATTTCCTCCCTACCCTAACCCTCAGGCTATTGTCGAGGAGGCACTAAAAGGTGTGATAAAAGCAAGAAAACGGAATACTCTTCACTGAATATTTTAAATTATTTCCTTTGCTTTCAAATTTTTTATCATTGGGGAGCAATTTCAACGCTTTTGACGAATGTGTCATCTAACTGAAAATTTTCAATTTAATTGTAGAAGGAAGAGAAGATAGACACGCCATCCGTGGTAGGAGCGTTGTCGTACTAGAGACTGAAGAACAGAGAGAGCATACAAGAACAAGGAGAGCAGAGAAGAGAATAGCCTCATAGTTTAGAGAGGTTGAAGATGCATGCGGCGGAATGTGGCGCAACAAAAAAAATACATTTAGTACAAAAAAATGCCTGAGAATGGATTTTTTTTCTTCAACAGTGGCCCTTGGAACTTTTGATTTTTTTTATATACTTTCAATGTCTTTTTGTACTTGCAAGGTTGTTGCTTTTTCTATTATGTGTTCACAGAAAAAATTGAGTTTTTTAGGAACATTGAAATACCATTTTTTTAATCCAGGGTCCACTCCTTAGGCATTTGCTACATAGAAGGGAGTTATTTTTCTTTCTTACTTTTTTTTTCCTATTTTAGTTGGTTTTTCTTATCACATTTTCATTTTTACCGTTTGTTTTGTATTTTATATTTATTTTATGTTTTTGTTTTAATTTTATTTTTCCACATTTGTCCCTCTTTTGGGGGTAAATATACGGACATTTTTTTAAGTATATGAACGTATATTCATACCTCATGAACAACCATTTTTAAAACATATTTTTCTCAAATATAATAAATATTTTTGAAACATAAATGAACATTTATACTAACATACGTGCACGATTGTTTTTGCTATATAGTACGATCTTTAATAATTTTAATTAGATCATTGAGAATATTTACAAATTCTATTGAATAGAAAGCTTCTAATATAATTGTATAGCTATACGTAATGTAGTACTTTTCAAACAATGTAGTAAAGTAGTATTTTGGATAGTATAAAAATTATTTTAAAATTATTATGTTTTGTAAACAGTATTACTACATTATTATTTTTAATTAGATCTTTGAGAATATTTTCTATTGAATAAAAAGTTTCTAGTATAATTGTATAGCTATACGTAATGTAGTAGTATTTTTTAAATAATGTAGGAAAATACTTGCTCCATCTCAATGTATATGACGTTTTTGTAGGCTAATATTCTAATTGATAATATGTTCTGTGGTCATCTAATATAATTGTTTGTTTTCAAATAATTGTTGTATATTCTATATTGTATCATGTTTTAGACGTTCTTATACTTTGAGACAGGGGTAGTAATATTTGGGATAGTACAAAAATTATTTTAAAATTACTATGTTTTGTAAACAGTATTACTACATTATGTACAAGGTTTTACTTAGAGGCGTAGAATAACTATTTGTAATAATGTTTGCAACAAGCTAATAGGATGTGCCTTTTTCCCTTTACGTGAAAAATAAGCCGTGTTAGTGTTGGCTATCTTGAGAGAGCTTTTGCCTCCCGAAAATCCTATACCTTCGAAAGCAAGTTATAAAAATTACCTTATTGTGAACATGTGTCATCCTCTCATTAATCCCCCCA